TGTGGACTGAAGGGTCCCGGGTTCGATTCCGGGCAAGGGCACGTAGCTGGGTTGCAGGCTCAATCCCCGGCCCTGGTGCAGAGGCCACCAATCAATGTGTCTCTCTCACATCGATGTTTCTCTCCCCCTTCTTTCCACTCTCTCTAAAAATCAATGGAAAAATATCCTCAGGTAAGGATTAAAACACACACAAAACCTACTTGTTGAGGACGAGCTGTATATACGTGAGAACAGAGGGTTCTCTGTGGACACTGTGGTCCCGAACACTTCGAAATGCTGGGGCGCACAGGGGCCCCTCCCGGTGGGCATCTCCGAGGGAGTTCCTCCTGGGGAGCTTGGCTGCGGCCACTCCCCCCGGGGTTTCAGGGCGTGAGTCCCAGCCGGCAGCGGCAGCCCCCGTGGCCTGGGAGCCTGTCGGACTGGCAGGATGTGGGCCCAGCCCTGCCCGGCCGCGTCAGGATGCGCACGGTCGCCAGGTCTCGGGTGGTTGCCCGTGGAGGAGCTTGGAGCTGCCCCAGGAGGTCTGAGCAGAAGCAGGTGCTTAATCCTGGAGGCTGGTTTCCCTCTGATGGTTATGAACTAATACTCATCCTCTGGACCACCTATCCGTGCACATCTCGGTGGCATTGCATACATCACATGACCATCACCCTTCTGCACCCAGCACTTTCCCAGCATCCCCCCGACACTCTGTACCCAACTCCCCTCCCCCGGCCCCAGCCCCCTAGAGCCTGGCAGCCCCCGTTCCACTCTCTGCCTATGAATTTGACTCCTTGGAGCCTCACGTCATGGGAGGGACTCGCGAAATTTGTCCTCTGTCTCGGCATCTTTTCAGGGTCCACTCATGCTGTAGCGTGTATCCAAATTTCCTTTTTCTATGGCTGAGTGATATTCCATTGTATGCATACTCCACATTTTATTTTATTTCTTATTTTTTAAAGTATATTTTTACTGATTTCAGAGAGAGGAAGGGAGAGGGAGAGAGAGATAGAAACATCAATGATGAGAGAGAATCATGGATGGGCTGCCTCCTGCACGCCCCGCACTGGGGATCCAGCCTACAACCTGGGCAAGGAGTCGAACCATGACCTCCTGGTTCACAGGTTGACACTCAACCACTGAGCCACAATGGCCGGGCTGCGTGCTCCACATTTGCAAACCTATTCATCTGTCACTGGACATGAGGCAGAGGCCCGGTCCCCCTCTGGCCCCCTCCCCACCCCGGCTCCCCGCCACGTCCCCGCCAGAGGCAGCACAGCCAGGCCCACCTGTCTCCTGTCCTGCGCCCACAGACGCTGCAGCGGGAGAAGCAGCCCCATGACCTGAATGACACCTTCAAGGAGCTGTTCCACGTGGTGCCCGGCAACGGGGACCCCCTGCTGGAGAGGAAGTCGGTGGGCTGCCGGCGCTGTGCCGTCGTGGGCAACTCGGGCAACCTGAGGGAGTCCTGGTACGGGCCTCACATCGACAGTCACGACTTCGTGCTGAGGTGAGTGGCCGGGCCTCACCTAGGCGCACCTGTGCACCCCAGACTCCCCTTGTGCACCCCCAGACCCCCCTTGTGCACCCCCAGACCCCCGGGGCTGAAGGTGGCACCTGGGCTCTGGGCCCGGAGGTCAAGGTCCCAGCCTGGTGTGCCCAGACCTACCTGGGCCCCTCAGGCTCCTCGTGGCACCTCGGGGCCTCAGTGTCCCCATCTGCGCTGCAGGATGGAGACAGACGCAGGTGCCTCTCTGGATGCAGGGGGCGGAGCTTGGCGCCGAGAGCCCTGGCGAGAAGGCAAGATTCACTTGCAGAGTCCCGTTTGATCCGTAAAATGCATCCCGTTTTGCAGCCTGTATGCTTTTCATGTAAAACCTCTTTTCCTGTCACCAAGTGAACAGATGTTCCAGGAAGATGCCCCACGTCTCTCTGGGTTCCTTGTAACCTCCATGCCCTCAGCCCAGAGCGAGAAACAACAGCAGCGAGGGGGTGCGGGGGAGGGGCTGGTGATCCCCAGGTGCCTTCTAGAATCTTCCGTCCCTGTGATCTCTGGCTGTATGTCCTTAGGCCACTCACCTGGCCTCCCGGAGCCTCAGTGTACACCTGGCTCACTGGGGCCGTCCGTGGTGAGGGGGACAGTCAGGTTCAGGGTCCGACAGACCGGAGTCCAGGGCTGCCCGTGGTGTCTCTGTGTCCTGGGCCCCGTCCTCTGTGCTCAGATTTCTTGGACCATAAAATACCGCTGGACACGGCCGTCACTGCAGTTTCACCAGGGGCGTCCCTGGGCCAGGGCAGGGCCTCTCGCTCACTAGTAGCAGGTGGTCAGTGGCGCGGTGACGCGGCGCACTGAGATCCTAAAGAGGAAAAACCCGCAGATCCCCCGAGCCGTGTGCTCGCCGTCTCCACTTCACAGAGGGGGAGGCCGCGGAGCTGAGCGCTGGCCCGAGGTCCCAGCGGGCCCCCGGGATCTGGGACTGTGTGAGCCATGCGTGTTCTTCTCTCCCTTCTCCTCCAGGATGAACAAGGCCCCCACCACGGGGTTCGAGGCCGACGTGGGGAGCAAGACCACCCACCATTTTGTGTACCCCGAGAGCTTCCGGGAGCTGGCCGAGAACGTCAGCATGGTGCTGGTCCCCTTCAAGACCCTGGACCTGGAGTGGGTGGTCAGCGCCACCACCACGGGCACCATCTCCCAGTAGGTCCCCCCAGGGCGTCGCTGCTCCTCTTCACCATGTGGGTGCCTCCTGGCCGCCCACCGTGCTGTTCCCTGCACCACAGCCTGGCTCATGCTGTTCCCTGCAGTGCGTCCTTTCCTTCACTTCCTCCTGGGATGCACCCGCCCCACAGGCCACCTCTGACCCTCCGCTCTCCCGGGCCCTCACCTCCCATCGCTCTAACACACCCGGACTTCCACCTTTTCCTCCTCTTGACCCCCAAGTGGACCACACGCTGTGCTTCCCCGAACCTGGCAGCTCCTGGGGAAGGGGCCGCTGGAAAGGGCCCAGCACAGCTTAGCTCCGACCCCTCACCTCCGAGTGCTCCTCGTGGTGACAGCCACCTGCCTCCAAACCATAAATGTCACTGGGTGGGCGGGGGCGCAGCTGGGAGGAGGGGTGCTGAGCATGTCGGCTGGGGCGTGAGTCATCCTTCGTGTGCGCACATCTTCCCGACACCACACGCACGGGGCACGTGGCGTCTGACCGAAGCGTCACAGTTGTCGTGATCATGCCTCCCTTCTGCCAGGGAGGGCGCAAGGCTGGCCAGGCAACATGCTGGGGGTGGGACGCTGGCCAGAGCCAGGCTTTCGCCTGTCCCCTTCCCAAGTCCTTTCTGTTCCCGAAGAGAAGTGGTTTCCATGTCCGGGTGGCCAAGCCTGTGTGAGGCCCAGTGTGGACAGTGCAGGATTTGGGGGAGGGGGTTGCTGTGCTCTCAGGAGAAGGGAGGGAGGGAGGGAGGAAGGGTGGGAGGCAGGCGCTCGGGCAGGGGAATTCCACCTGGTCCCTGGGTTCCCAAGTGTAAGTTGCGCCAGAGTCAGATCCAAAGTGAAGCCAGGGGCCTTCATCTTGGAGGCTCCTAGACCCTCCGGATAAAACGGAGGCAGTGTGGGCCTCTTCAGCCGGCACCCCTGCCGTGGGGTAGGTGCTCTGGCCTCCATGGCGCCTTCAGGCTGTGTGTGTGTGTGTGTGTGTGTGTGTGTGTGTGTGTGTGGTGGGGGGGCTTGGAGCAAGTCCCCTAAACCTTTCTGGGAGAAGGCCCACAACACAGCAGAGGTCCTTGAATGAGCCAAGATCGCCCTCTGGTGTCTGTAAGGGACCACTGCAGGGCTGTGGCAGGGACCTGTGGCTGGGGGCCCCTGTGAAAGCGTATACCTGCTCAGCCTGGCCCGGCTTCCCTCTCCAGTCACCCCCTTCCCCAGATGCCAGTAGACAGCCGGCCCCTCCCACATTGACCCTCTGCTCTTTCCCCCCAGCACCTACGTTCCTGTCCCCTCGAAGATCAAAGTGAAGAAGGATCAGGTGAGTGGCGGCTCGGGCTCACCTGTGATGCTCTGCCTGGTGGTAAGTGGTGGAGAGGGCACCCTTCCCTCCTCTGCCAGCATCTGGCCTCAGAGAGCCCTGGGCGCTGGGCCGATGGAGTCCCTGCTGGAGGGACCGACCCTGGGATCCCAGGCCAGTATCATCGCCTGGGAGACTCACAGATGCACCCTTCCCCGACCCCCTCCCCCACTCCAGATCTACCTGGGATTGTAGAAGGCCTCCAGGGGCACCAAAGGGGCTGCAGTTTGAGAACTACTGTGTGAGCTTCTCAAAGCCAGACCTCACCTGTGTCTCTAGACCTCACCCATGTCTCCATCGTTTCCTGGTGTGAGGGTAGGCCAAAACCTGGGCAGAGGGCAGAAGGATGAAGGCAGGGCAGTGGCCACCACCCTGATCCTTTGCCCACATGCTCTTATTTAAATACTAGTGCCCCAGTGCACGGATTCGTGCACATTGAAAGGAAATAGAAGGTGGCCGGCGGGGCAGGACTGGGCGAGATGGGTCGGACATGATGCCCTGGAGCCAACCTCCGGAGGTCCCTCCCCGGCCGGCCGCACCTGAGGCGGCGCTGTGGCTCAAAGGGTGTCTGCAAGTGAGTGGGGTCCCTCTGGCAGGTGAGGTCCCTCGGCCTGGCCTGCAGGGATCAGGCCGAAACCAGCTTTCCGACATTCCCCAAGGGGTCTCAGATTGCGAGAGGGCAGTTTTTGGGTGACACACCCCGGAATCGGGCTCCCTCCTCTCTGTCTCCGGGATGCATCACCCGAGAACTGCTGCTGCCAAGTCACTGCAGCTCCACAGCTCCTGTGTTGAGCATCTGCCCCCTGGTGGTCAGTGCACGTCATAGCTACCAGTCAGAGCGTCTGCCCCCTGGTGGTCAGTGCATGTCATAGCTACCAGTCGGACAGTCACTTACTCATTTATTTATAGAGAGAAATTTTTATTGATTTCAGAGAGTTAGAGAGAGGGAGAGAGCCAGAAAAATAAGTGATGAAAGAGAATCCCTGGTCGCTGCCTTCTGCACATCCCATACTGGGGATCAAGCCCACAGCCCAGGCATGTGCCCTGACCGGGAACTGAACCCTGACCTCCTAGTTCATAGGTCGACACTCAACCACTGAGCCATGCCGGCCAGGCCTGCATGCTCTTATTTAAATGGGGAGGTTGGGGTCAGAGAGGTCAGGCAACTTGCCCAGGGACCCACAGCTGGTTTGGGGTCATGCAGAACTGGGGTCCTCCCCTGCCTGCAGCACCCGCCTGCGTGGGGGGCGGTACTGCTGCGGGGGAGGAGCCACTTGTGAATCCCATGGCAGGGAGGGCCTCCCAGGGAGGCAGTGGCTCAATGCCAGGCTATGAGCTGAAGGGGTCACCCGAGCGAGCATAGGCCCCCCTCCAGACCTCTCGGGGTGGGGGGCAGTGTTGCATTTGGCTTCCTGCACACGCCTACCCTCTGCTGCCTGGCAAGTCCCCTCACTTTCCTCAAAGCTGCCGTGAGCAGCGGCACCAAGGCCTTGCCTGATACCAGGACGCCCCCAGCTCGGCCACCGCTGGCTGTGTGGCCTTGAGCACGTCGCTAAGCCTCTCTGAGCCTCGGTTCCTTCATCTGTAGCAGGGGAAGGGGGAAAGCTAGCACATAAGGCCCTTTTAGGGACTGGGGACCATTTGGGCCCAGACCAGGGGGACGGGTGGCTCTGTGCATGAGTTTTCCTGCAGCCGTACCATCTCGCTCAGCCCTGGCCTCGTGTGATTGTGAGAGTCACCTGCTCAGTGAGCCTTCTCCCCCCGCCCCAGGGCTTCCCTGCCTTTCTCGCTGTATTCCTCTCCCTGGTCCCAGAGTTCTTCCCCCGCATCTTCTGTCACTTCCCAAGTGAGGCTCCTGTCGGTCTTTTTCCGCTAGAATGCAGACCCCCTGGGTGCCGGGGCCTTGTTCCCATCATGTCTGTCCCTGTGGCCACAAGCGTGTGGCCCCTAGAGGCGGTGTGTCCTTCCCCAGCCGTCTCTCTGAGGGCCATGTGCTCCCCCACAGATCCTGATCTACCACCCGGCCTTCATCAAGTACGTCTTCGACAGCTGGCTGCAGGGCCACGGGCGCTACCCGTCCACCGGCATCCTCTCGGTCATCTTCTCCCTGCACGTCTGTGACGAGGTACGCCCCTCCCCCGGGATCCCCGCTGGCCAAGCCAGGCACCAGGGTCCCTCATTCACTGTTCCCGAGAAGCCATGCGAGCATCTGTGGTTGGCTGTCCTTGATCCTGCCCCAGCCCCTGTGAGAGCATCTGTGGTTGGCTGTCCTTGATCCTGCCCCAGCCCCCGGGGGCCTGGCAGGCCTCTCTCGGGGGTGCTTTAAGGAGGAGTGGTGGTTTCCAAGAACCTTCCCAGGAGCACGTTGTGGCTCATTCTGTGTGAGCTCCCCAGGCAGAGCCAGGACCCGTGGGTGGAAGCGCCGATTTGGGGGCGAAACAAAGGAGCCGTTGGCATAGGAGGCCTGTGTAAGCTGCTGCTCCCACCTCAGAGCTAGACCCCAGCTCTCGGGCCACACCCGCCCACTCCCGCCAGAATCTCTGAGTGGGAGCCAGGCACCCAGGGCTTCGACTGTCCCCAGGGTTGACTGCCAGAGAGCCTGGGGAGTGTGCCCCGCCCCCTGGAGCTCCTTCGACATCCACCAGGTGGCGCCAGGTTTCCGTCCGTGACCTAGGCCAGGGGTGGGGACCTCTGGCCCACAGGCTGTATAAGGCCCAAGAAATCATTTGGTCTGGCCCTGCCCAGGCATTAGCGGTGAGTTAATGAAATGTTTGACCAAACAGAGGAGGCTAATTTTTAAGTTGATGATTCTGTATGGCCCACGAATGACGTTACAAACCTTGGCAGGAAAAAGGCTCCCCACCCCTGATCGAGGCTGTTCCCTGCCTCCCAGGGCAGAGGGGCAGGAGGGGCCACAGGAGAAGGGCTCACTCAGTAAACACTGGCCCCGGGTAATGGCCCACCGCTGGCCAGGGAGGGCACCTGGCAGATGGACATCAACCTGAGGGAGGAAAAGACCCCCTGCCTCACCGTGGATGTCGCTCTGGGTCCCATTTTCCAGATGAGGAGAGTGAGGCTCAGAGAAGGGATGCAGCATTTGCAGGGTCCTCCAGGGGGTGGCAGGGCTGGGGGTGGGGCCACCTGGTCCCCACTCTGCTCCCTGCTCCTCTTCCCTGGCTCCCCCATCCTTGGAGAAGAGGTTGTACTGCCCCAGAGGTGAGACCCCGCTCCCTCAGGACCACCCACGTGCAGTCGCCCCCACCCCCCTCCGGGCCTTCCCACACGAACTTGACTTTTACTCAACACTGCGCCCCCGGGAGTCCCGGGAACCTAGAGAAGGGTTTCTGCGCTCCTGGGGAAGGGCGTGCGCAGATGCCGGGGTGCCTGCAGCTTCCTGTCCTCCAGGCTCTACCTGCCGCCCGCCGTCCAGCCCTGACCTCTGCTTGGCCCCCACAGGTGGACCTGTACGGCTTCGGGGCGGACAGCAGAGGGAACTGGCACCATTATTGGGAAAACAACCCGTCGGCGGGGGCTTTCCGCAAGACCGGGGTGCACGACGGAGACTTTGAGTCCAACGTGACCACCACCTTGGCGTCCATCCACAAAATCCGGATATTCAAGGGGAGATGACGCTGTGAAGGGTCGCGGACGGCCACCTCAGCGCAGCCTCCTCGCCGGGGCTGTTCCTTCCGTTCCGGGGGCTCCCAGGGCCAGCCTCTCGCACCCCAACATTTGACAGCATCTACTCAGCGATGTCACCGGGCTGCAGAGCAAGTCTGAGAGCCAGTGTGGGTGGGGCGACCCTTGCGTCTCTCTCTGGCCGGAAAAGGTGGCGATGTGAGGGACGTCCATTCTCCGAATACGGCCGGGAAGATGGGGGAGGAGGGGCAGATGCTGAAGACCCCCCTGTTTTAAAAGAAAGGACATTTCCCAGGGAGGACGGGCAGAGACTGCTTTGCTGGGGGGCCCGGGGCTGACACCAGACTCTGATTGTCGCTGGATGTTTCCGAGTGGGGGCGGCTCCGGACAGTCACGCGGGCCGTGTCGGCACAGGGGCCGGGCGTCACCTTCCTCGCACGTGGCAACCCCCAATCCCCCCTGTTCCCCGAACTCGTTCTGGTGGCAGGAGAGGCTCCCCCCGAAGGTCTTCACGCTCGGGCAGGCGTTTCCGAGTCCAGCAGACAGACGTCTTCTCCCCAAGACATGTTCCCGCGAGGACCCATCTCGGTGGTTAAAATGATGGCCCCAGGGCAGGTCTAACCCCTTCTATGTGCCTTTGTATTCGGGAGAAATGCATGCCCTGGCCAACGTGAGGCCAGCACCCCGACTCGGGAAAGGAGACCTCCGCCGCCCCCTCGCTCTCAGCTGGGGACTCTTCCAGGTTCCTGAGCCGGCCCCGAGGTGGCACAGAGCTCAGGTGGCACCCGGGCCTCCCAGAGGCGCACCAGCCCTGGCACGTCTCTCACGTTCACAGACTGTCAGACTCCGTGCCCGTAACCGTCCAACCCCCCGGGAGGGTCTCCACCAGCCAGCGTCTTCCCCAAGGGCCCCGCTCGGGCCCGGTCCTGCTGGCCACCTGCATGGGGTCCCGGGGTGGGGTGGGGCATCCTGGGAGCGTGGCCATCGGAGCGGGGCAGTCATACCTCATTCGCACACTCTTTCTTCCTCGTCACCCTCCTGATTATTTATTGATTGGTTGTTGTTGCATTCAGCTGACCTCGTGTGCATTTTCTGGCTCTTGCTGGTCCGGGTTCTAACTCACTTTCTTCTGCTCCACCCGGCCGCTGCGAGGTGGGCGGCTTCCGGCAAGCTCTGTGGGTGTTCGGGGTGCCTAGGGTTTGGGGCTCGCTGGTGGGCAAGTCCTGGGGTGTCAGGTCGGTGGGTGCGCAGAATGTCCTGTACCTCCTCTCCCAGCCCAACTTCCTTGCGAATTTGGGTTCAGCCTCTGGCCGGGCCTCTCCCAGACCCAGGGGCACCTCCTCAGGGCGGGCGAGACATGGGGTCCAGGCCTAGGAGGACCGTGGCCGTTGGCTCCATTACTGACGTGTCATCAGGAAAAACCGTTTTCCCATAGAGAGCATTTCCCCGAAGGCCCCGCTGCTCCCGATGGCGTGTGAGGGACTTCGGGCTCGCAAGCCAGGGGACCTGCTCTCCTGGCCTCAGTTTCTCCCTCTGCACATGGGGAGGGAGGAACTGTGGGAGCTCAGGGGCCACAGACGGTGTCAGGCACCTCCTAAGAAAGAGTCCCCCGGAACCTCACACCACGGCTTCTCCTGAGTCTGTACATGCGAGCGCTTTCCTGGGGAGGCTCCGGCGCGTTCATCACAGCCTCAAAGATGCAGGATCCAGAAAGCCTTTAAACACCCCGCACGCCTGTTCCAGCTCGAACATCCTCCCAAACGCAAGTGGTAAAGGCTCGGAAATCGCTGTGAGGCCGCATCATCACGGGCTGGAGGTCACGAGCTGGAGGTCACGGCCACACCGGCCGATCCGTCCCAGGGACAGGCCTGAAGGAAGGTGGTCACTGGGTGGAGCAGTGGACGGCTCCCGCGCTCTCCTCTCCTGGGAGCTGAGGGTGCCCAGGCGTGTCGGTCAGAACAGCAGCTGCTGCGCTGGGCGTGGCTAAGTCAGAGCAGGTCCTGACAAGGAGGCCCTGTCCCCCAGCAAACTGCTGAGCCTGAAGCCAGAGAGGCCGCGGCAGGGAAGGGGCAGAGCGCTCAGAACACCCCAGCCTTCAGGTCCCCCAGGGGGCCCTGCTCAGGAGCCGCCTGCAGCCAAACGGATGCCCCCAGATACACCTCCCTGCTGGGGAGAAGGCGGGCGCCAGCTTTAGCCCGGGCCTGGTCAGGCACCCGCCCGCGGCATAGACCTCATGTCCGTCACACCGCTAAGTCAAGGCCAAAGTTTCCCGAGCACTTTTTTCCTCTTTTTTTTGTCAATCTCGTTTGGTTGGTTGTTGGTGTTTTAAAAAAGTTGCTTTTTCTCCCCCCCCCCACCCCCCGCACCCCATCACCCAGCCTTGCTCTCGCGTTTCACAGCCGAGCGTTGACCTGGATGCATTTTGAGTGAAGTGAGCGAGTCGCCGTCCTCAGCCTCGGCTGCGTCTTATTTATTGTTGGACGTTTGCAATGATCTGAATCACAGTGAATTAAAACAGAGCTATTTTATCGTTTGGGGGTGTGTTGCTTTTCTAGGAGGGCCGGGCCCTCACGCTGCCCTTCACCGTTCCACTCGGCAGGTATTTCAGCCCTAACAAGATGAAGGACTGGGGATTCCCCCCACCTCTCTGAACCTCAGCGGTCTCATCCGGGAAATGGGGCCGCAGTGCCAGCTGTCCGAGGGGTGAGGTCAGGGGGAAAAGCCTGTCCGGAGGCCGGGGAGACGCGCCAGCGCTGAGTGTTCGCCGAGGAGGCCTGGCGGGGGTTGAAGCTGACAGATTGCGAGGGGCCCCTTCTGTGGAGCCGGATGCCTTTGCTCAGCCACCCCAGGTGCAGGGAGGGAAGAGGCAGGCAGGGAGGAGATGAAGAGCCTAGAAGGGGACAGGCTGAAGGGAGGGAGCACGAGGCAACGGAAGCTGGTGGGGACGGAGGGGGGACAGGCGGGAGCTGGTTGCTGGGGGACAGAGCAGAGCTGGAGACCAGTCGTGGATGTCAAGACAAGGGACATTCACAGAAGCCACTCAGAGCTGGGAAACTGGGCACAAGGTGTCTGAATGCGTGGCCTTCAGGATGGGGTTGTTCCAGGTGATGGAGAGAAGACGAAGGGAGGAAGTAGGAAGGGCAGGTGCTGTATGTGAGCTCCATGTGTCACTAAAGTCCCAGGATAGGGGCACGCGTTGGTTGCAAACACCCTGGCTCGATGAACAAAGTCTGCCAGGGGAGGGGGAAGGTGCTGCAAGGTGCTGGGGACCTTGGGGAGAAGCTGAAGCACTACAGGCAGATGGACGGTGCAGCCAAGACAAACTGGTGGGGAGGAGCGTGAACTCCAGAAACATCAGTGGGCGCCCACAGAGACACGGTCCTCACCCAGACATCCCGGCGGGGGCTGGACAAGGAGCGCCATAGGTGTACCTGCCCCAGGTGCCTCTCAGCAGCCAGGACGGGGAGTCTGCCTGTTGGCAGGCCCAGCAGCCCCTCTGATGCCACCACCTGGCACAGGTCCTGGCACCCAGACCACCTTAAGCAAAGGATCGTGATTGCTATCAGTCCACTGGGAGCGTCCTTGCTGGGGCCTTCGTGTAGAACCCTTAGCTGTGGATGTTGAACACCCCAAAGGCATCTTCAGATCCATGAGTGTCCAGGTTCAACTCCCACGGATTCTGAGACCTCCTGCCCCTCGTGTTTTGTAGCGGTGGGACTGGCTTCCTGGAACTTGGTCAAGGCAGGGAGGTATCATAGATTTGTGGATTGCCAGAAGATTCCCGCCCTTTCTGAGTCCCCCACCCCCACCCCCAGGAGAGGACGTGGCTGGAAGCCAGGCACCCCCAGGGATCCAGCCGGGATCCAGACCTGGGCCTTCCCGTGAAGGGAGTGATGGTCCCTGGTTTGTCTGCCTCGTGGGAATGTGTGGAAACGAACATACTTGACGTCCACATACATTTCATTGGACACATAGGTACCCAGGGCCCCTGGGGCCGAGGATGCGCAGAGATGGATGAGCCGAGGCCTCTGCTGTCAGACAGTCACCGGGTAATTGAGGGGCAGGAGCCAGTGGCAACACCGTGAAAGGTGGAGATGATCTCTAATGACCACAGCTCCCCTTGCACACCACCCACTGGACCAAGCGTTTCGCCTCCGTTACGCTCACTGAATCCTGCATCCGTTCTGGTGAGAGGAGAACCTGCTGAAGACACTGTGCCTCAGGGGGTGAACTAACTCACGGGGAGCGAGGGGTGCAGCCAGGACTCCCACAGCAAGCTGCTGAGCCCAGGAGCGCCGGGTCAGGGTTAACCACCTCCGTCCCCTCAGAGCCGGGACCCTGGGTTCCGGGCGTTGCTCCCAACCCCAGCCCTTTGGTGATGATGCGCTCCCAAGGCTGCTGGGCTGTTCCTCATGGCGGAGCCCAGAGCTGCTGAAACCTTCCCTTCTGCCCCGGCCAAGAGCACAGACCAGGCCTCCTACTGATGGTGGCCACCAGGGGGCGCAGTGTACCCACCCTCGGCCCATTAGTTTCCACCCGGGGTTTATGGGGACCCAGCAAGTGTTTGAAAACCGGTGAGAAACACACCCCCAGGCATCAGGCCAGAACTCGGTCTTACCGAGTCCAACACCCTACAGATAAGGGGATGGCTGCCCCTCGGCCCAGAAAACTGGGTCAAGGGAGAAAGTCTGACCCAAGTGGGCAAAGGCGAGAACCCTGAGCAAGTGCACTGGCTGAGGTCTCCGCGGGCCGTGGTCCCTGGCTTCCCACTCCCACCGCAGAAACATCCTGCTGAGGGAACGAGCCAGACCCCAGGGGTCCACAGAGCACGATGCCATGAGAACACCCGTAACTGCAAGGTGCACAGGGGCAGAGAGCAGTTGGTGGCCGCACAGGAGGAACGGGCTCAGGTCATATGGAAATGTTCCAGAACCAGGGGGAGGGGTGGTTGCACCGCATTGTGAAAAGTTGACATACCACGGAACAGCACGCTTGAAGATGGTCCATGACGTGTTGCGTGGATTTTACCTAAATCTAAAAGTGTGTGTGTGTGTGTGTGTGTGTGTGTGTGTGTGTGTGTGTGATTTCAGAGAGGAAGGGAGAGAGATAGAAACATCAATGATGAGAGAGAATCATCGATCCATTGCCTCCTGCACGCCCCCAACTGGGCATGTGCCTCGACGGGGAATCGAACCTTTCTCAGGTCAATGCTCAATATCTGAGCCACCCTCCGGGCTAAAAGTGTTTTAAAATAAATAAAACAGTCATACATACAAAATGTTCCTTGTAAATGTGCTCATTTGATGGAGTGAGCCTGTGAGGTGGGCTGACTATGTGCTGTGGGTGTGGAAACGAGGCTTTGAGAGACCTGGGCAGAGCCTCCGGGGTCCTGGGAGCAGGAGGAAGAGCAGACCAGCTGCCCTCCATGGCTGGGCTGGGGAGGGACGAGAGACCGTCTGGGCCTGGTCTCTAGTCCAACAGGCCGGGGTCCCCCTGCAGTCTGGATGGTGGGTCACATGGCCCCCAGCAGCCAGGCCTTGGGGCAGAAAGGGAGGGAAAGAGAAAGGGGGGTGAGGGGGGAGGGAGGATCAGGACCAGGAACAATGAGAGAGAAACGCTGAGCCCTTCCTTTGTCCGCTGGCCTGCGGGGGTTTCATTTGAGTTTTCTAAAGAAATCGGAGCCCATAGAATTGTTCCCGAAATAGAGCCCAGATTGCAAGGAATGTCCTGGAAATCAGACTTCCTGTTACTGGATCGAGCTTCCCTGTAGCAGCTGACCTTTCCGGATAAAGGTGGAACATTCAGGCGCGGCACCTCGGTCATTGTCTGGGAGGCAGTGGGAGTCGTAGTCCTGACGCACAGAGGCGGAGAGGCAGAGCCTGAAGAAAGCAGAGCCCTGGGGGATGCTGAGGTCCAATTCTTCCAGGGGGCGAAGGGGGGGGCAGCCCCTGGAATACCAAGCCCAGCCCCCTCCCTGACCTGCAGCTCTTCTGAGCCCCTGGCGAGAGCGTTGCCTCCTTTTCTGCTTGGCCACCAGCTGGCAGGACCAGGGCAGGAGCAGCCTGCTGGGCCGCTGGGAAGTCATGGCCGCCTGCTCAGCCTTGGCTGGAGGATCCGTCACCCCTCCCTCCTCGCACCCCCACCCCCTGTCTCGTCATGCTTCCAGTGACCCCAGCATGGCCAGCTGCCCCTCTTTGCTTCCCTACCCGCCTCGTTTTCTGGAGAGACACAGAGGTCCCCTGTGTTCTCTGTGCCCAGCACAGTGCCTGGCAGAGGCAGTGTTGCATGTTGGGAGGAAGGAACTGATGGATGTAATGCCTTCAGGAGAGAGAGGGTGACAAGGCATTGTAGGTGCCAAAGTGTGTGCACCCAGATCAAGCTGGCTGCCTTCCAGCCCAACACTGATGAGCTGATGTTATCTGTGGTTCTGACTTCTGTCCTCTGCCCACCTGCCCACAGGGCCAACGTGCCTCCTCCTGAGGTAGCAAAGGCCTGACCCTGCCACATGTGTCCTGGGTGGATTTGGGCAAATTTCTTCATGTCCCCGAGCCTCAATGTCCTCATCTGTAAAATGTGGACAAGAACGGCTTCTTCCTCGTAGTTTAGTTAGGATTGAAGGACACGATGAAAATGAATTGCTCAACACCAGTGCCACACACATGGTGAGTGCCTAAGAGCTGGTTAAAGATGTTTAGTATCTATCTATATAAAAGCCTAAGTGACTGTTCGACTGTTCAACCAGTAGCTATGATGTGCACTGACCACCGGGGGCAGATGCTCAATGTACAGGCATGGAAACATGGAACAGACTGATAAATCTCAGAGGAAGGGGAGAGGGGGAGGGAGGGAAGAGATTAACCAAAGATCTTATATACATACTAGAGGCCCGGTGCATGGATTCGTGCACTGGTGGGGTCCCTCAGCCTGGCCTGCGTGGATCAGGCCAAAACTGACAGTCTGACATCCCTCACAGGGTCCTGGATTGCAAGAGGGTGCAGGCCAGGCCGAGGGATCCCACCAGTTCACGAATCTGTGCACTGGGCCTCTAGTTAGTAAATAAAAATACAGGAAGCTGAGTTGAATTTGCATTCCAGATAGATGGCAAATTATTTTTTAGTACAAATAGTCCCAAATATTGCATGGCACGCGCATACACACACACACACACACACACACACACACACACACACACGTTTGTTATTTATCTGAATACAAACATAACTGGCTGTTCCGTATTTGACCTGGCAACCCTACAGGTAAGTCTTCTCAACACTTCTGACACCATTGCTCCCAATTCTCTGTATTCAATGTCCTCTGTTAATCTTCCTGGTCGGGCGGGGTCTTCTGTTGCTGGATCCTGCCTGATACAGACTCGGGGTCCGACATGAGCCTGTTCGTGGAATCCTAAAGTGACTCCTGTACCCCGCCTTCTGCTCACCTTCCGGCTCCTCGGGAGTTCAAAGAAGAAGCATGGAATTCAAAACAAACACTCGCTGAGCATCCGTGTGTGCCAAGCCCTCAGAAATCTGGCAGC